GGAGTGTGATCAGAGAGAACAAGTTAGAGGCTCAATGTGAACTTTATGCAAAAAGTTTGCTTTACAAGAATGGTATTGTTAACTTTCTTCCCAAAATGGAAATGTGAATTGGATAAAGCTTAAACCACTTGGATTATAGCTCGAAATTTTGTGTAATCCATTAATTATGGAGTTAAAAATAAGTTTGAGGCCTGCAAAGCAAAGATTATGCAGCCTAACATTGAAATTGCATTTGTGTTCATCATGAAAATGACCTATAATTCAAGTGACAAAACACCAACTTCATATCTTCGATTCTCCCTACTCAAGAATGATCTCAAGGAGTTCTTGGATATTTTGGAAATCTTGCAATGTTATATACAACTCATATTTGAATTGATTTTGAAGATTCCCCTTAGAACAATGTGAAAAATTGCCATGAAGTTAGGTAAAAAATCTGCCAACTCGGGCAAAATTTCACTAAGTCTTTTTTAGTTCATGAGCATGTATTCATAAAATTATAACTTGAGATCCAAGAACTTTTAGGATAAGTTGTGTGAAGAAAAGTTGTAGATTTCATGGAGATCTACAACTTTCATGTTGGAAGTTTTCTTTGAATCATCTTGCATCATAATGAAAAAATTGCTCAAAGTTATGAAAAAATAAGAAATTTTTGACACTTCGAAAAATTTCTAAGTTTAGAAATTTTGACTTTTCAAAATGAAATCTTGATTTCTTGACTTCTTGATGAATAAGTTTCCTATTTTGACATTTTTTGATGAATTGTGATCATTGGTGCTTAAATTTGACCAAAAAGTCAAAGTTTGACTTTTCAGTATATAGTTGACTTTTGATCAGTTGACTGCAAAATTCATCTGTCAATCCAATGGATTTGCAATGTTTTGAATCATGTCATTAGGTAAAAATGATGCAATTGTACTATTGAGATCATGCCTTAAACCAATTGACCATTTTCTAGGTCAAAAATCAGAAATTGCCCTTTCCTGGCAAAACCCTAATTTTGACCATTTTGCCCTTTTGGAGATTTGATCAAATTTCTTGAGGAATTATGGTCCAAACTTGATCAAATGATACATATGGGTTTAAAATGTTGATGTGGATCAAAAATTATGAAATTTTGACTGTAAATTGGCCATGGTTTACTTTTTCCCCAATACAACTGATTTTCAGGTCAACTGCTCAGTTGACTGAGCAAAAATGTGATCCAAGGCTTGAAACTTGACATGAGTAATCTTGGGGGTCCATAATGGTCCATGAAAGTCATACGAAGCATTGATAGTTCAAAAATCCTTGTGCAAACTCAAACCTTAATTTTGGTCATCAGTGCCTAAGGAGGTGTCTTGAGCTGATCAAACCCTAGTGCAGTCTTGAGCCCAAGGAGATCTTGTGAGAAAATTATTAATAAGTGAGAGGGAAAATTTTGGGGTACAACAGCTTCAATCAAAGCGCTTTCCTTGTGAAGGCCTTTAGTAGCATAAACTATATTGACACCAGCAGATTCAGTATAATGGGCATCTGACACTTGTAAGGGATCTTAGTCAACCTTCATCAAGGGCTTCCCTTTGTCTCCTAACTTCAATCTCCCGTCCTTAATTGCGTTATGCACAAGATCCCTGAAAAGAAAATATTGTAAGGTTTTGTGGCCTAAAAAATTGTGATATTTAAAGAAACCTCTTTTCTGTCGTTGTTCCAATGGTGGTATTTTAGCACCACGTGACCCTATCATTTGGTCATCTTTAACTAAAAAATCAAACTTTTAGTCACACTTCGTAATGTCGAAGGTGTATGTTCTCTTAGGAAATTTATTGTTCTTTTCTGGTTCAACAGAGTTTTTTCCGTTTGAAGGTGCAAGAACTTTACAAGAATAAGGTAGTCCTTGTTTTAATTCGTCCAGATCAATTTCATTTTCGTCGAAACCTATAGGATCACTATATATCTCTTGGATATCCTCATCCATTTTGACATATGTTACCCTTTCTTTTCTATTATTCTTACTTGCCCTAGCCTTTTCAGCCTTCAGGCGTTCGACCTGTCCAACTCTGTCTTCTAATTGGGCCATATCCCTTAAGTATCAAGTAGCTAGCTTCTTCCTGATGGAATAATCTAAACCACCAACAGCCATTTCGACCAACTTGTGTTCAGGCACTTGGATAAAACATCTTGCATTTAACAACCGGAACCTATTCAAATACTCCTCTATTGGCTATGTGATTTATCACGTAAAGTACTAGCCAACTCTTTCAAACTAATCTCCGACTGTTCCATGTATAATTGTTCATGAAATAATCTCTCCAAACGAGTCCAATCATGGATGGAGTTTGCTTGGAGTGTAGTGAACCACGTAAAAGTTTTTTGGCGAGGGAACTGAGAAAATATCTTATGCTCAAATTTTCATTATTGGAAATGTCCCCCGCTCCAGTCAGGTATCTTGCTATGCGTTCGACAGTGGATTCGTTGGTATCCCCAGAGAATTTTGTAAATTTTGGGAATTTCCACCCCCTAGGTGATTCAGTCTGCAAGATATACTCTGATAACGAGGATGTATAGTTTGGCTTGCGAAGGCCTATGTTTACCCCATTTCTCACCATAATTCTTTAAACCATGGCAGCCAAATTATTTTCTCCAACTATATCTTCCTGTCGAACCCGATGCACTACTTCGTCTGCATCTTGGTTTTGATTTACCATCACAACCCTTGAGGGTTATCTTTCTCTAGTTATTAGTTTTTTGAACCTATGGGGTTCAACTCTATTTCCCTGATTGACTTTGTCTGCATTATGTGCAAACTGATGAGCTTGGTTAACGGTTAGGTCTTCTTCTAGGACCACTACCTGGTTTTCTACCATCCATTCCCGTCGAGGTTGTCGAGCTGGAGCTTGTGGAGTGCCAAAAAGTATGTAATTCACGCCATTTGTGCTTCCAATTGTTGATTCATTTGAGCATTTTGATGATTAGTTTGAGTTGTATTTTAGATCAAGGGGTTGAATATTGTTCCCATTTGTTGGGCAAGCATATAAACCATATCATGACGACTTTCATCCATTTGTTGTCTTAACACCGCTAGGGAATTTGTAGTAAAGGTGGGAATTGGTTGGGTAGGAAATGCTGCCCCTAAGGGTTGAACATTTCGACCCAGGTTGTTCATAGTCGATCCTGACCCTCGCAATGGTGAATATGTACTCATCAATGAATCAACAAATATTGATGCACTATTATGCAAACTTGTCATCACTGAAGTTGGCATGCGATATGGATGTTCACGACCATTCATATGGATGGGCATCATGAATCCAGGCACATGGGGCCTAAAAGTACTAGTCCTCACTGGTCTTAGAGTCACTGATTGACTTTGTGTTCTTACGGGGGATAATATTGGCCCACTTTGAGCATTCGAAGGTATGGCTATCGTACTCATCATAAAGGATATTGGTTTGGTCATAATTGTTGCGACAATATTTTTCCATGTCAAAGTGGGTTGTTCTCCATGGTTATTTGGTGGATTTACCATCCTTCTAACGTATCTCCTTTTCGGTAATGATTCGTTATTTCTGTCTATCCCACCACTCCTCAATCTCATAAAATGAAATTTGAGAAACCTATGTATGAAGAATTAAATGCAAATTTTATTTTCAAAAAGACTAAGTAAAATGACTTAAGCACAGGATCCCACCGGATGTGCCAATTTGTTTACCTTGAATTTTGATAAACAACCGCTAGTCTTTCAAAATTGATACTTTGATTACTCATAGGATCTACTAGATTGATTCTAGAACATATGTGCTTAATTTTGTTATGTTTTCTTGACGATTAATACTTCAACTAAACTAAAATCTTAAAAGTGACAGTAATGCAAAAACAAATTGTAAAGTGCAGAAATGTAAAATGTGCAGAATGTGAAGTGTTTTGACAAAATCTTAAATGGAATTAAAATGACATTGAAAGTAAATGATTTAGTAATGAATGTAAATATGGTGATTCACACGTACATGTTATTCAGAAAACTCTTTTTTCAAACACACTTAGATACTTTGAGTGATTTTGAGTTTGATACAATTGAACACATGAAATCTTAATACTAAGACCTCTATTTATACTACTTCGGCCGTAACTCTCACGAAAGCTCTTTCTTTAGAAAATGACACGTTGTCGCTTGCATGGCTTCGCCTTTCACAGGCTTCCACGCATCCTTTTCGAGGAACGGATAAGGCTAAAATACGGTTATTAGCCTTATTTCAAATTATTTTCGTCAATTTCTCTTTCAAATAATCTTCGCCGAATTCTGTTTCGCTATACTCTTTGGTCGAAGTCTTCATTTGATTTCTTAGTCTACTATAGTTTGTCTACATCAAATATTTTCCGCAGCTTTAGTTGGTATTTTACATTTTCTTGAGCGTCAAAATTAAGGGATATGTAACAATTTGGTTAGTTTAAGAATGTATTATAATGGTTTATGAAAGGCTCTACTGTTAATCATATGTGTGGTAGGAGTCAATCTCAAAGCATGAAGTTAATCATTTGTATTGGATAAGCCATCTATGCATAACTTGAGAATTGTTTTATTCTATTGAATGAATTACAATGTCACTGAGAACTATTTGCAGCAACTATGATATCTTTCTGACTAGAGACTGTTTAGCATACTCCAAGAACTATTTGCAGCGATTATGTACCATAAGCTTTCTCCGGCGCGTCAAAGTTCTGTTTCCTCAAAAGAACCATTTTTAAAATAAAAATTAATTCAATAATCACAATTAATTTTTTGATGAATCTATATATAATTAAAATTTTAATTTATAAACAAGACTAGTATTTTTTATTTTTCAATAATCACACTTTGAAAATGGATAACAAACGTTCCACGTGGCATAATCTCAAGGTCCAATTGTGCATAAACCGGGCAACACGGTCAGCCAATAACAACCTACCTGCCCAAAATTCCAAATACACCATTCAAAACTCACCACACCCAAATCTTGATACACCACACACACAGAAAAACCATGTCTAGCTTCACTCATGCTACTACACTACTCCATGCTCACATAAAAACCAAACACAAAATCACTTCAAGCAACAACCTTAACAACAACAACAACAATAACCTTTCATCTTCTAAACAAAATGCAACCAATAGAAGAAACTTAATTTCAACATTTCTATCAACATCAATGGTTGTTGGAGTTTCCATTGGCACAACACCATTAGCATTAGCACAGAATTGGGGCACTCGTTCTTTTCTCAGAGAGCATTTCTTCGAGCCCGGGCTTTCGCCGGAAGACGCGGTATTAAGGATAAAACAAACAGCTGAAGGGTTACATAATCTTAGGGAAATGTTGGAAACTTTGTCTTGGAGGTATGTTATGTTTTATATAAGATTGAAACAGAATTATCTTGAACAGGATTTGAAAAATGCTATGACTACTTTGCCGGAAAATCGCCGCAAGGAGTATGTCAAAGTTGCTAATGAATTGGTTGATTACTTGACTGAGGTATGTATATTGTATGCTTAGCTTTGTTACGTTGATTAATGAATTTGATTATATGTTTCTTTAAAACTATAGGCATGTGATTTTTGGTGTTTCTCTTTTCAGATGGATCGGCATGTTCGATCGCCAAAGGTATATGAATCGTACTTATACTATGAGAAGACATTGAAATCAATAGATGAGCTTGTAGCTATGTTAGTATAGTGCAAAGATGAAGCAGCAGGGTATTGGTATTTTGAATTTAGTTGTATAAAACACATTTTGGATTTTTAATTGAATATATATACAAGGTTTACTTGGATGTAAAACTTTAAGTATATTATTTATGTACATGTTTGTCATTAGAATATGCTAACTTACACTCTTTGAATCGGTGTTTGATACTCGTATGACATTCATATATCATTAAAAAAATATTTAAATTGCTCATAAAAAAGTATCCAACACAAGCCTAAAGAGAGTAACACAGTTTGATACAAATGTAAACACACTATGGAGGAATACACACAACACAATTTCATAAATGGGGAAATCCATGACCAAATGGCGCTAGCATATAACATCAGTTTCGAGAGATTGCAACTTGTGACAGAATTATTATGATAACGAACATAGCAACAGCAATGTAAGAACCAATAAGAGAGCCAGAAATACGTTCACAGAAACTGTTGTATTGTTGGCAAATAGGAAACCAATTGGCTTGTGTGTTTCCATAATGTGCTATGTACACAATCGACGCTGCTGCTGAGGCTGCTGCTGTTAGTACACCCATCATTACCTTCATAATATTAACTCAAACTTTATGAACAAATCTTAATTGGCATAATCAAATTATAATAATATTGTATGAGTGTATTTACCATGTCAAGAACAATGAGTAGAATTCTAGTTTTTACTGCAGTGCTCCTCACTATATGGAATATTGACAGGATTAGTGAAAGCACAAGATATCCACAAACAACTGAGTTTCCCATCACAAAAAACCTGAAATATTCATAGTCAAATATTAGAAAAATATTTATATTTCTTTTTTAGAAATCCTGTATCGTCTCTGTGCACAATTATATAGACTAATCTCTTGAGTTGGGAGGATCACAATAGGTGTTAAAACTCTTTTTCAAAAGAATTTAACACTTCTGTGTGTTCAGGACTGAGTTCAGATCTAAAATATCTGATTAAACTGAAAGAGATCATTTATCATCTTATACTTTTAGATAGTGTGTCTTTGAATGCGTGCAAGACAAATTAGCGGTCTAAAATTTGTCACAATAATAAAAACATGACTAAAAAGAACTTTAAAAAAATATTTGTCACGGTTATCTCGTGGCAAAATAAGACTCTTATTTATTTTAGGACGGTTGAATCATGATTAACCTAGATAGAGTTTCCAAAAACGGCTATGGTACTTGATTATAAAAAAAAGTTAATCCACTATACATTTAATTTATCATGCCAACATTTAATTAGAAGTAAATAGCACTTACACAAATGAGGGAAGATCATCATATTGAGCTCTGAATTGTATAAAAGCAGTAGCAAATGGAAGCCTCTCATCAGTTGTTGCCATAGCAATAGCACTAGCTAGTGTTGCAACACCTGCAATTATTCTCAAAATAAAATCCATTATTGACAACCCTCTTTTCACTCCTTTGCTTGTAGTTGCATTTCTAGGCACTTCACCAAGTTCAATTGAACCTCCCTTCATATTTTTTCTAACTTAATTAAAAACAAACTCTTGCTTAGAAACTTTATATATGTATATAAGTACTTGTGCTTGTTAACTATCTAAAACAGACACTTATATAGTTGTAGATTTTTTGTTGTCAAATTTAGTATTTCCTAGAATGATGTAAAGGAAGACCAAAAATGGCCATTATACAAAGGATTAGGTTTTGCCAACCACAAAGTGCCTTTGTTTGTGTTCTTTAGGGACACGTGTATGTTACGAAGATTTTGCTAGCATACATATATGGAGTGATGATATTATCCACTAACATCCACTAAAGTCTTTCTTTACAAGATTATAAATTCAATGTTGAACTAAACTATGCACCTGCTCGTACTTGTTCAACTATAGAAAGTACAAGGGACCGTATTCTAGCTGCTCCAATATAAGCATTCATTGACTGCAAGATATGATGAAAGGGCAGATTGACAAAATCACTTTGGGCAAAGTAATTTTTGTCAAAGCTACAAAGTGTAGCTTCACAAAATCATGTTAGTTTATAGTAATTCTTCACATAGTTGTTTGAATTTTTTTCATTATTTTTTATTTATTAATGAATATATTAGTTATAGTTTTAAAGTTTATATAAAATAGAAAACAAACGAGCAATAAATTGTTCCATTATTCCTTTTTCAATGGTGAAAAAAATATTTTTAATAATTACAATATTGATCTAAAAGATATAACATTGTTATGCATAAGTCTTTGGACATTTGATAAAAGATCCACTACTTTTGAGGCTAGGAAATCAAAAGTATCAAAGGTAAATGGTATGAAAGCATGTTGATTGTTGGAATATACTTTCTCATGTTGATTGTTTGTCCCACAGTAAAACCTCTTGTCTTCAATTTCACCAATGGAGAAATCTCTGAAAGGTCCACACGCTCATGTTTCCCCCCCACTCACCCGTACATCAGAACATTTGTTAGTCTATGTATCAATCTCTTCTCATGTGGGTCACTCAAGAAATTCACAAGCGTCTATTTCTTCACATATACTCCGGTCCGTCATAATATATCAAATAAGACATCCTTAACAAGGTCATGTCAATATTTAAAACCTAGAAGCTCCCTACAATAAATCACGTGTTCCACAAATGTATCCAAACACTCTTTGTACCAAATAGAAAATCTCATAAATAGGAAATAACTGAATCTTAAGACGGTATATCAAGATAGTATGATACTCCACCGATGACATACGTTGATCTAGTCCATCAAAAAGAATAGCAAGGAGACAGTCTCGAACATGTGCAGATTGCAAACAACCAAAACTTCTTTGTGTCTTGTGGTTATATCAAACTTTACATTCATGTCTTGAACACTTTTATTAAGAAAGACATTTGCCAAAACACGTTATGCTTTAGGAAGGAAGATGCCCTTGTTAGTAAAACTACGAAGGTCAAAATCTGAAATCACATTAAGTGTGAAGACAAATCTCTTATGAAGATATTTTTATGAAGACAAATATATGAAATAAGGAAAAGATTCAACAAGGAATAAAGTTTCAAGTCAATTTAAAGCTTCTTGGCAAAAGTGATTCAAGGTTATGTTTCAAGGAAATGAAATGATCATTATATGGAAATTTGAAGATAATCAAGATAAACTAAGGTACAATATGTTTTTCACAGGATATAGAACTTAGATACTCAGAGAAAAAATTTTAAACTCACTTTATACTTTGTTTTTAGAATGACAAAAATTAACATTTTTAACTTAGAATTTTTTTTAAGTATATAGCAGGTTAATCGATTAATTTGATATTGTCAATCGATTAACTATGTCTCTATTTAAAGCAAAATTTTATTTTTCATTAGATTATTACCCTCTTGGTTCAATCGATTAACCATTCCAAAATTAACTAAGTAAATAGAATACCCTCATTAGGTTAATTGATTAACCTAGTTGTTTTTCACATAATCTTTTAACGTTATAGGAAGGATAATCGATTACCCTGTGTATGTTAATAAATTAATCTTTGTATTATGTTGAGAATTTTTGAACCACCGTCTTTTCTCTTCATCTCAAATGATCATAAAACTTTTTTATAACATTGCAAATGATCATAAACATTTTCCAACCATTGTTTCTGAAAATTCAAGAGGTACATGGCTCATTATAAATAGAATGAATTTTCAATTTCAAACTCACCTTTCTCCAGACATATTTTTAGAGTAGTCATAATATTTTCACAGAAACTTTTCTAGTGCATAATTGTTATATCAGACAAAAAGTTTCAGGAAAGGGAAGAATAATTTTACAAGTGTTTGAGAAGTGTTCATACAAATCAGTTGGATTCAATAATAAATTTCACTTCTATCTGTCTTTTGTAAACTTTTTTATTATATTGTGATAACAAGTGTGTAAAAGAGAAAGTAGGATTCTTTCTCTTTGATCGTAAATGTATAAAAAGTGGGGTACTTTCTTACTTGTGTTAGAATTTTGTAAAGAGAGTCTGATGTAGACTGTAATAAAGATCTTGACATAGTGAAATCTCTCACAGGGTGTGAGGGAACTGGACTAAACCTTGATTGGAAAGGGGAACCAGGATATATCATTGTGCAATTTCCTTTACTGCATTTATTTTTACTGAATATTGTCATACCCCAAATTTTCCCTACCCTTATATTATATTCAAGGTTCTATTTAAATAAATCACATTATATAGTTTTTATTTTTACGAGGGTGTAAAACATGGAAGAGGAGAGTATTGATCCCAAATGGACCATCAATATCTGATGGCCCATTAGGATTTAATAAAAGTCCATTTCAAGTAAAGGAAAGGGAGGTGCATTGTTTGTATTTTAAGCCAATGGACCTTCTAAAATCAGGAAATACCATTTTTTTCTCTTGGCCTATGCAAAGTTCTGGTTCATTTTAGAAATTCTAATAGAAGAGGAGGTTTGATGTCTACTTGGGGGGTGTAGTGATTAATCAGAGGCCCATATATTTTTTTATAAAGACCCATTAGAATTTCATTCTTTTTTGTGAGAGGATGTACAAAACAATTCATTTTTTTGTTGTTAAGGCCCAATATGGAGGCCCATTCGGTTTTTTGTTTGGAAAGATTGTTTTTGTTATCATTATCTTATCATCACTGATTAGTTTTTTCATTTTGGATCATTACTCTTTTGATTTAATCTTTTTTTAAGGCCCATTCGGTTTTAGTTTTACACGGATCATTTACGAGCCAAATGCCAAACATATTGCAAGCTCAAAACAAGCCATTATCTAAAACGAAAAACACTTGGTCCAAAACACGTATGATTTAGATCAGATGATAACACTTGGTTCTAACCGCTACTGTTTGAATCATGGGTAATAAACACATTAACATGAACAAAATCAAAAAGGAATCAGCACAGGAAATCAAGCAAAAATCTTCGCGTTTAATTTTCCAGAACAAGATCAACTCAAAACAGAATTTTTTTATTAACATTCAAAGTTTTAATTAATACAAAATCGAAAACATAATCAACATAAAAGACCTAATAATTTCTAAACCATAAATTCCTAAACCAATTACAGGCATATTGATTTCTTTCTTAAAACTACAAACCCTAAGCACTATAAAAAGGAAAATCATTGACAGAAAAAGGGAAGAAGGACAGAGACAGAAGACAAATTATTACAGGGAAAACAAACTATTACAGGGGATTCGAGGAAAAAATCCTTGATATAGGGAGAAGAAGAAGAGAGGAAATGGTGCCTCAATTGCACCGCTGAAATTTGTAGATTTGTCGTCGCCTAGGGTTTCAACATCTGAAACCCTAGCTAAAGCCTTTGTTACCCTCTTCAATCCATTGTCGTTGTTACATCACCACCACCCATTGCCTTCTCCATATTCATCATCCACTGTCATCACCTACAAGCCGAAGAAAGAGAGATTAGCCAAACAAGATCGGTACAGAGAAGCAAAAAAGCAATGAGGTAACGATCACTTAGCTGCTCTTATTTTCCTTGTATGTTTCTATGCTTGGTCTAAAGGTTGAGGTTGGGAGCATTAGGGATTCAGAGAAGAAACAAGGTTGAGCGCCACTGAGTAGAAGAAATAGGTTTTATGTGGTTGCAAGGAGAAAGAAGAGAAAGCTAACAAAGGAACTAGACAGAGAGAGAGAGAAACATAACAAATGAATTAACTTCTGTAAAAATAAAATATATTGGGCATACTTATTCCGTACACGCGCGCTCACTGGTGTTACAATATTCCCTCGTCCATCACCGTATGATCTTTATCCTACGCTCCATTAAAACGCTTGCCCACCATTTCCCCATATGCACACCCACACGCGAACCATGCAGACCACCCTAAAACTTACATTGGGCCTAACCCATATCCGTTTGCACCCCTCTGTTTTTGTTTTTTACTACCATCAACAACAAATACACCACCTTGTCATTTGGGCCTGAATTCAATATCTGAATTCAGGCCCCTTCTATTGACACCCCTCCATTTTTGCTGCTTCAATTATATTCACACCCTCACGTTTTTTAAAATTTATTTTCTTTATTATTTTGTTTTCTTATTCTTATATTCTCTATTTTATATATTTATAATTTTAATATTTGTTATTATAAATCAAATTTATTATTCTAAACACATTCAAAATATATTTTATTTATTGCATTAAATTATTTCTTTTAATTGTGCATTTAATTAAAATTTTTTCATAATTAATACTTAAGAAAAAAATGTTCAACTAAACACCAATTTATTTTTCATAAGTTAAATTAATCCTAACTATTTTTCACGTTATAAGTTAATTTAATATTTTACATCAAAATATTAAAACCCGCGCAACTCACCAAATTACTACATCTACGAGCGACAGGTGACCAATATCTGGTCACGTGATGAGGAGATTATATCAGACTCCCTCGCTCTACGTCTTAATACAACTAACCAACATTAAATCAATTTTTTTTACTAACATAAATCAAATTTATATTTATTTTCAAAAAGGGTTGTATTAATATCTT